CCGTGGCGGCACCTTAAGATGCCAGCACCCCACCCCAGCTTTGCCTCTCCAAGCATTGCCTTCGGGTGATAATAAAAAAGACTCTAAGTTGCTGGGGTTTATCGTCCATGGAAATTTTCCTGCAGGTGCTCGTAACTCTCCAGCAGGTGGTAAATCGGCGCGAGGGACGACGGTCGGTGAGCTCCGCGCCAGCAGCGTGTGGTCTTTGTGTTCTGTCCTTTCATGTGAATAAATCTTTCCCTCTGCTCTCCTGTCCCGCAGGTCTCTACAACTCCATGGACAGCTGGATGATCGTCCCCAACATCAAGCAGAACCACTACACCGTCCATGGGCTCCAGAGCGGCACCCGCTACATCTTCCTGGTGAAGGCCATCAACCAGGCGGGCAGCCGGAACAGCGAACCCGCCCGGCTCAAGACCAACAGTACGTGCCCTCTTTCCCTCTGCTCTCCTGTCCCGCAGGTCTCTACAACTCCATGGACAGCTGGATGATCGTCCCCAACATCAAGCAGAACCACTACACCGTCCATGGGCTCCAGAGCGGCACCCGCTACATCTTCCTGGTGAAGGCCATCAACCAGGCGGGCAGCCGGAACAGCGAACCCGCCCGGCTCAAGACCAACAGTACGTGCCCGGGCGCTCGCCATGCCATGCCAGCTGCGATGCCGCGAGGGAGAACCGCGGGTTGTTTAAGTTATTGAACGTGCCTGTCTTACTCAGAGTCTTGGATCCTTCCCTGTCTCCAGGGATGGTCTCTTGCCACCCCACGTAGTGCTTGGGGCCCCCGTCAGCTCTCTGCCCCCATCAGCGCCCATCCCCGTGGCTCCCTGGGGCAGCCAGGGTTGTAGGAGATCACGAAGGTCCATCTTTCTGCTCTCTTTACGGCTTTTTGGGGCTGATGTATGGAGTCCTGGGGCAGTTGTGTGCCGGTGCGTGGCTCTGCGCGCAGAGGCTGGGGATTCTGGGGAGTCAGACGGAGACTGAACAGTGGTGTTAAGACCACACCAGAATTAAGTTGCATGTGCAGTTTAATTTTGTGGCAGCTATTCCTGCGTTGGGCAGCGGTCTTTGCTGCACCATCCCACCTCCCCATGCCATCAGGCTCCCAGCTGGTGCCCATGGTGAGGGGCCGGGGCAGAGAGCTGCCCCAGATCCCCCCTGGGGCAGAGAGCTCATGCTCTTCAGCTCATTTCTCTCTGTGTTTTTGAGTTTCACCTCCTTTCCCTCTGTTTGGTCCGGGAAGGTGAGCAGATCCTGGGCAGGGAACAAGCCCACAGTGCCGGTGCTGCTCTTGCCTGTGCTCCCCTCTGTCTCGCTGGCAGTGCCAGGGGTGGTGGTTTGGTGAGGCGTTGGCAGCAGGGACTTGCTTCCTCCTTCCAGCAGGGCTGGGGAAGCCACGGCACAGACAGGGGCACGGGAGCAGCTGGAGGACCGACGGCTAATGGGTCAGCCCATGACAACAGATGCACAAGGCACATGGATGTGCCTCAGCATCATGCTGGGCACCTGTAATCCCATGTCCTTGGCTGGTGGGGAAACCTTTGGCTCAGGAGAGTGTCCAGAGAGCCTGGGGCAGGTGTCTCCTGCCACGTTCTGCCTGCACGACGATGGTGACAAACGTAAATCCTAATCCATGTGTCCTGTTCTAACAGGTCAGCCATTTAAGCTAGACCCCAAGATGGCTCACAAGAAGTTGAAGATCTCCAACGATGGGCTGCAGATGGAGAAGGACGAGAGCTCCTTGAAGAAGAGCCACACGCCCGAGAGGTTCAGCGGAACGGGATGCTACGGTGCCCCTGCCACTACTGGGAGGTGGTGGTGGGATCCTCGACCTGGTAGGCAGCGCCGTGGTCTCCCCTCCCTCTCCTAAAGCCCTCAAACTTCCACAGAGATGTTGTGGGACACACTGGGGTTAAAGGGCAGGGGTTGGCAGACCTGCTCACGGGCAGGGAGCTGGGTGAGACCTTAAATCCACGTGGCTGTGGCACGTTAAAGCCGCTTGTGCAGCACAGCGGGGCGAGAACGGACGGGTTCCGCTGGAAGCAGGAGGGCAACAAACGGGGCTTTTCCCCAGCCAAGCCTCTGCCAGTGGCTTTCCAGTCCCGTAAAGCCGTCACCATGCTGCTTCCATGGTCAGGCAGGCTTTTAAAGCACAGGGCGCCGGCAGCCACCGGGGCGGGAGGCCGCTCAGCAAAGCTTCTCCTCCCCTGCAGGTACGCCATCGGCGTGGCTTACAAGTCGGCCCCCAAGAACGAGTGGATCGGGAAGAACTCCTCGTCCTGGGTCTTCTCCCGCTGCAACAACAACTTCGTGGTGCGGCACAACAACAAGGAGATGCTGGTGGAAGTCCACCCACAGATGAAGCGCCTCGGCATCCTCCTGGATTATGACAACAACGCGCTCTCCTTCTACGACCCGGCCAACTCCCTCCACCTCCACACCTTCGAGGTCTCCTTCATCCTCCCGGTGTGTCCGACCTTCACCATCTGGAACAAATCCCTGATGATCCTCTCGGGTCTGCCCGCCCCGGACTTCATAGAGTACCCAGAGCAGCAGGAGTGTAACTGCAGGCCCCAGGAGTCCCCGTACGTGTCAGGGATGAAAGCCTGTCACTAGGCTGCCCGAGCCCTGTCCGTGCCCCGCGGTGGCACCAGTGACGCTGGCGCATGCCGGCGGGGGGGGGCGGTCCCCCA